GCATAGCAAGGATGGGATCATTGCTAGCATCTGTCACATTATAGATAAATGGAAAGTTGCTCAGGCTATGAGTGAGTCGGTGTCCGGGGTCAGCTCGGGCCAGATTAGCAGGCGTGTGGTGCAACACCGTAGACTTATGCACCTGCTATCTTCTGCTTCGTCTCATCATGGAGACGTTTTGGTAATAGCCGATGATGATGTTCAACAGTCTAAGGGTGTTGAAATTGCGTCCCAGCAGCCCATTGTTCCTATTGTGATTGCTTTGAGTCCTTGTGATAGTCCTCGATCTTCAAGGGATAGTGTCGAGCGGTTGCACCTCTGCTGTGGGGGCTTTTCGTGGTGCCTCCGTCTTTGTTCTGAAGTGGAGTTTTCGTGAAAATTCCCATTCATTTGTTTGTTCTACCGCTTTGGAGTTTACTCAACATGCCCTTCCTTCTGCTACTATTGAGGATATAGATGTGATGAACAATGCCATCCTTGCCTATAATCTGGCTTACGCTACAACGCAGGCCATGGATTATCTGGCCGCTGGCTCTCGACGTGTGTAGCGGTTTGACAATTTGGAGCGTGCATATTATGCTTTGGTGGCGAGCGAGGCAAGTTTAAAGGGGCAGGTGGTGGAGCTTGAAGTTTCTGCTCAACCATTGAACCAGAAAAACAAGTCATTGGTGTCAAAGAAATTAGTGTTGGAGGATGTTCGAAGCTTGTTAGAGGCTCGTGTGAAGTCGCTAATGCAAACGAATGAGGGTCTGATGATCCAGAACGAGAGCCTAGAACACAACCTTGCTAACCATGATCACGATTTGGAGACTTTGAAAGAAGATCGTGATTGGCTACTTCAGGACGAGCTTATGTGTATGATGGATAAACTCATAGATCATCCAGAATTTGTTGTGGGTATCAGCCGAATTCGTCATGTCGCATTTGTTGCAGGTGAGGAATTGGTTCGGGTAAGTTTGAAGGCACAGGTTGATGCTGGGACAAATGATCCATCTGCTAGCAATTCTCGCTCAAGCCATTCTTCAGCTATTGATGATGCCCTGCTGGCTTTTACGACTATGAATTTTACAAGTCTACTTAGGTTAGGTCAGCTTGATGTGGATGGGGTGAGAGCGCTGTGTGTGTTTGACGAAGTTGAGGATGTGGTGGGGAATACGGTGGTGGGTCTTGCTGGAGGGAACGGTGCTGGTGTAGATGATATGGGTGGTCCGACAGTTGTTGGTGCTGAAATGGTGATAGTGATCCTGGTGGATTTTGAAGTTGTTTAGAGCTACCCTTCGGGGTGTGAAAAAATTGATGAAGCTTTGTTATCCTTGTTTTTGTTTTCTTTGTTCCTTGGTAACTTGTGGCCTTCAAGGCCTTTTGTTGTGTATATTGATGGTTTTTTGCTTATGTATTAATTGGCAATAGTCGTGTTTGATTTTGTTTGCTTTGGTGCTAGCTTGCATTGCATTGCTTTTTTGGGCATGTTTGCTTGTTCTTGGGCATTTTTTGTTAATATCTTGGGCATGATAAGCCTCTTATATAGATTTTGTGTTTCTCATTACGACTTTATTCAGAAAACTTGTTGTTTTGTTGCTTTGCGTGTGAGTATCTACATGTGCGCATGTGGATTCACTAAGTATCCTCTGTATTTCATTTCTACTTCAGCATATATGCCCATGGTACATAACATATTAAAACTAGTGCATTTTTTCTATTGCCATTATGTAATCTTGATACTTTCTGGTTTTTAATGCACTATGGTTCCTTATCAGACTACACTAAGCGTCCGCGTATCGGTCCGAGTGATCAGTCCGGCCAGGGGATGTTTTACTAGAACTATCTGCCCTTCTGTGTAGGGCTTGTGGTTTCACTCAAAAGTGGAACTTTATTAAGTTCCTTGGATTCTACGTTCTTGGGATCTATCTTCCCTTAGGTGTCTCTAAAGAGTACGATCGAGTGCGGTGTGCCTCTACCACCTTTTACGGTCCTTCCCATGTCTAGCTCAGTTTTCCGCGAGGCTGTGTGTGGCTGGCCTCGTGTTTCCGTAGGACATAGTCGCCTACATGAAAGGCCTTGTCTTTGAATCGTTGATCATAATACCTCTCTGCTATTTTTTTTGTACACGGCCTGGCATATGCTTGAGCGTTCTCGTCGTTCCTCCAAAAGGTCTAAATTGTCCCTCAGGTTCCTGTTAGTGGTTTGCTCCTGACAGTACTCCGTTCGTATCGATCTTATCATCGTCTCTACTGGCAGCATAGCTTCGGCTCTATAGGCTAGAATGAACAGTTTTTCCTCCATGCTGGTTTGCGGTGTGGTTGGATACAACCAGAGGACTTCAGACGGGTCATCTACACAGTTTCCCTTTGCTTTGCCAAGCCAATTTTTTATCCAATGCACTACCATCCTATTGGACACCTCTATCCGTCCATTGGCTTGGGGGTGTGCTGCCGATGTGAATATTTGCTCTATTCCTCTCTCTACACACTAGTTTCTGAAAGGGTTCTCGGCGAATCGCATCCTGTTATCACTGATCAGGACCTTGGGTGTTCCAAACCATTTTTATGATGTTTTTCCACATGAACTTAATCATTTGTTTTCTTGTATTACATGCCAAAGGCTCGGCTTCTATCCATTTTGGGAAGTAATCGATTGCCACAACCAAGTACTTTACTTACCCTGGTGCATCTGTGAAAGGGCCAATGATTTTGATTCCACATTAGTAAAAGGGCCATGGGCTAATTATACTTGTCAACTTGTTCGGGGGTACAACTTGTACTGGTGAAAAGGTCTGGCACTCCACACATTTTCGCGTTAATTTGGTGGCATCCTGGTGTATGTCCGGCCAGCAAAGCCCCATGCATAGTACCTTGCTTGTGAGTGCCCTCGCCCCCTTGTGGGCTCCGACTGATCTCACATGGGTTTCTTGGAGGGCCTTTCTTCCTAAATAATTGTCTATGAATTTGAGCCACAGGGCTGTATAGCCTTTTCTATATAATAATCCTCTTAAGATTGCGTATTGAGGAGCTTGTATGCTTATTTTTCGTCCCCCCCCCCCCCCGGTGGTCGCCAGGAAGTATGTCGTGCTATAAATAGTCTATAATAGGTATCATCTAGTTGGGTTGTGCCGTGGATAGAGAGTCAACTTGGAATTCATCGATGCTCCTTTCTTTTAGGACATTTACTAGGACCTCCTTAAAGAGTTGGCCAAAACATGTTGATGCGAGTTTGCTTGGGCGTCTGCCCGTCTATTGCTTCCCTTCAGAATCTGCTTTATGGCGAAACTCTTAAGTGGGCTCGTGATCCGTTGGACTGCTTTAACGTACTTCTCCATTCGTTCATCCTTTACCTCAAATTCTCCAGTGACCTGGTTGGCTACTAGGCGTGAGTTGGTTAGGGCTACTATCCTTTCTGCATCCATTTTTACTGCCAACCTTAAACCGGCTAACAGGGCTTCGTATTCGGCTTCATTGTTGGAGGTTTAGAAGTCAAAGCGTAGGGAGTACATGATTTCATCGCCCGTGGGGCGGGTTAGGATCAAACCCGATCCTGGGACTTCCTTGCTAGAATCTCCATCCGTGTAAAGGGTCCACTACCAATCGGTCTTCTCTTATGAGTGCCTTCGTTGGGTGGTATTTGTCATTTCCCGCTGGAGTTCCTCGGGATTTCCAATAGGAAGTCTGCTAGTGCCTGTCCTTTGATGCTCACCCTAGGGTGGTATCTGATGTCATGCTCTCCTAGTTCTACTTTTTCAACATGCACCATAAGTGTTCGTCTAGCTTGAGGGACATCATCGTCCATTCGTATGTAGAGGTGGCAACCGTGTGGTGTTGTGTCGGGTTCGTGTCGTGTCAAAACACTAAACGGGTTGAAAGTGCTTGACCCTAACCCAACCCATTTAATTAACGTGTCGTGTTGTGTCAACCCGTTTACTTTCGTGTCGAGTTTGTGTCGGGTTTTAGGTTAGGGCTATACCTGGAAATATGTCGTGTCATGTGAGGTTAAAAGATTGAGCATGTTGAAAAGTAGGAGTTGGGTAGGCGGAAAGGAAAAACTAATAGTTTGGAGGCAGAATATATGAAGTTATAGCAAGTTTAGATGACAAAATTAAAAGAGTGGGAGTTGGGGAGGCGGATGACGAAGGTCATGAGGATGCGATAGTGGTGAAAGAGACCGGGTAGTTTGGGAGAGAATGGAAAAGTTGAAATGAAGCCTTGGCTGAGTCATTTCAACATTACAAAACAATTCAATTCGAAGGCTTTCTTTTACTTATGGTTTTGATTTTGTATCTTTCTAGTTCATTTAAATATTTCAAAATACTTGCATATAAATAAACGGGTCATTTTCGAGTCATATTCGAGTTGAAATTCTTAACCCTAACCTTACACATTTAATTTTCGTGTCGTGTCGTGTCAACCCGTTTATTTAAATGGGTTGAAATATCTTACCCAAACCCGTTTATTTCGTTTCGGGTTTCGTGTCATGTCAATTTTTGCCACCTCTATTTTTATGTGTCCATGTGGCTGTCTGGGTCGGTGGTGCCATCGTATGTATTCAGGTGAGGTAGTTTCGCGGTGTTGCGATCTCATATTCCAGCAACTCTTTCACGAACGGTGATAGGACACTGTGTGAAAGGCAGTCTTTGTTCGGTGTTCGTTGAGCAAAGTGGTATCCTGGTTGTTGCATTGCAAGGAATGGTTGTACCAACATGTTATTATAGGCCGCAAGGTCTGGTGGTGTTGGGCCATAGAAGTTATGTGGCTGGAATGGGGTAGGAAACGTGTGGGTCATTGGGATTTGCTGGTAGGGTGTGAACGGCGGTGTCGGCATGGCTCCTGTCACTAGCAGTGGGTGGTATTGCACTTGAACAATGACGTTTGGTCCATTAGCAGTGTTATTCGCCGGCGTTGCGTGCGTGAGGGATGGAATCGCGTTTAACGGTGATGTTATGAGTGTCGTTTGCCATTGCTCGTTTGTGGTGTGCATGGGTGGTGTCAAGAAGCTGTAACCGGCGTTGTTTAATCCGCCAATGTTGGGAAAAAACAGCGGTATACGAGGTGAGATAGGAGGATTGGGTCTGCCGTTGTTAACAACGGCGGGGTTACGCTATTCAATGTGGTTATTGGTATGTGGGTTGTGATGGAAGGCGCAACTATTGCAAGGGAAGGTGGCGGGCTACCAGATGGTGGTGCCTCAGAAGTCGTGCTAGTCGTCTGAGGTGGTGGTGATATTGGGGTGATGGCCGTCTCTAGTGAGATCATTGGGCATATCAGGTTTTGTGGTATTTCCGATGGCTTGCAGGCGGCCTCGTCCATCATTTGGCTGGGTTAAAGAGGAAAAAATGGGTTTGTGTATCCGTTGTCATACAAACGAATTGCGCCAAATGATGCAACCTGGCCTCCGACCACCTAGAGGATGGAAGTTGTGTTCGTCTGAGATAAACCTGAGAGGTCACAAAGAGAGAAAGCCGTCATCTGTTCTCCGGGAGGAGGTCCTGGAAAAACACTCTGAGGGTCAAGTTAGTAATGTATTGGAGAGTAAGGGTTGAGAATCGAAAAGATAGCTTACCTCTCAAGGTGGAATGATGGTCCTTTTATACTGAGGATCCTTCTCGGTCTGTACAAGGAATAAAGACTACAATCTCAAGAAGATCCGATGTCCTTATTGGTGAGTCATGTTCCACGTTGTGTCAGGTCCAATGATTGGTCTAGGCGATAATGCTCTGGATGTGCTCCTTGTCGCCTAGAGCCGTTGTATTTAGACTATAGTGGAAGGCTACCCTTGGCGGGAATGGGCCTTCCATGCGGTCATACTGCTAGGGCTTGGTAACCGGGAGTTCCGTTAGGGCGCCTAGCAGCTGGGGCGGCTAAGCTGGGCATTGTCAGGTCTCATTGGGGATTCTCAGTTGGAGATTCCTTACTGGGGGTTCTCTTGTTAATGTCACACTTTGAGGGGTGTGTCATCAGTTATTATGACTTTTATATATATATATATATATATATATATATATATATATATATATATATATATATATATATATATATATATATATATATATATGCACACACACACAAAAAATTCTAATAAATTTGGGTATATTAAAATCAAATCATAAATCAATAAAATATAAAAAGAGTAAAAATTTGAAGTTAATGTTAAAACAAATTCAAAATAAAAAAGGTTAATCACATAAAAGACCCTATGTATCGAGTTTTTTTCGAGGTTATACTCAATTTTAGTTTTTTCCAAAAAGCCCTTAAATTTTTTGTAACAACCATAAATTTTACGCCAAATTTAAACTGTTTCAATCGTAAATAAAATCAAACAAAGTTTGTTTACAAAAATGTTTTCAAATCCAAATCCATCGGAGTGTCCAAAAATCATAGCATAAGGATGAGGAGCGGTAAGGTCACATCTTCGCCTTTCCATGATCTCCTAAAGTACCTGAAACAATAAACAGAAAACTGTAAGCCCGAGGGCTTAGTGAGCTACCCCCAAAATACCAACACCACACTGATAATACCATAGCAGTAACAATCAATCAATCAACATGCATACTAGGTCATCGGCCTGACTGGACCACCCTACCGGGCTTATAGTCTGTTTGAATCTATCTCGAGCCTTCAACATGACTGGTCCGCCATGTGGGCATACAGTCTCCTCGGATCGCTCATAGGGTACATTAGCCTTCAGCACAAAGCAGGACCGCCTCAACCCAGCCACAAGCGAATAACCATGTGCGTATACTATCATATACAGGCATATATAAACATTAAACATATCTGTGACATTGATCATAAATCATAGAATTCTCTTGTAACTAGAGTACCGACCTAGCAGGTCACTACCATACCAATCCCTATGGATCATAAGAGCATAACATACTGTCTACCCCGATTCCGATCTAACGGATCATAACCACATATAGCATATCATTGATGGGTTTTGAGCATTCTAACACTTCCTAAGTGTACATGCAACCCTAATAACCTTGGATCTATGTTTGTCTAATTATCATGCAAAGTTGAATTCCAAGGTTATATTCCTATCTAGCATACATGGGGAACAATTTTAACTTAAAGTATAGATAGAATAACTTACCTTGTTGTTGTTTGTGTTCCTTGAAACCTTGTGAGCCTAGCACCCCAAGTGTGATGCCTCAAATGCTTCACACAACACCAAATGCTCTTGGAAGAACTTATGAGAGAACACACACTTCTCAAAATCGGCCAAGCCCTCTTGTTTCTTAGTGTAGCCGATTTTAGGTGGAGAACATGTTACTTATATAGTGTTGACACATCTAGGGTTAAACCCTAATGTGTCATGACTCTTCATTTCCATGACCCATGGGTTTGTAACTCCCATGGAGCATCCATGGAGCATCCTATTGGTGGAACCCAACTTGATAGTCCATGGAGCCTTTTAGCCCACTATACAAGATATGGATGATTTACATAATCAACCCATATATTTAATTAGTTATCTTTTGATCACATAATTAATTCTAAATTAATTCTTGATCAAACTAATCAAATAATATTATTAATATATTAGAACTTATAATATATTAATAATCTCCAAGTGTTATTTCTCTCATTTAGTCTATCCAATTGCATGGTGCCATGCAACCCAAATGGACCATGCCGGGTCGGGTCAAGTACATACCAGAAATAGTTATGGACTTAGACACCTTATCCAACAGTCTCCCACTTGGATAAGTCTAATAACTATTACTGCAAGTATGACTTCAGGAACCGATCGGCAATCGTAGCTCTTTACAAGGTTTCTCGAAACTGAGAAGATGATGGTACGCCATTTAAGATAAGTGATCATATAATCCTCTGTTCTAGATATCAGTCGGACAAATACATGGAACAATGTCTTACTTATTGTCCAACAGTTTGTTTCCCGATTTCCGATTTGTTTGACAAAGAACTTCATTGAACACATCAATTTAGTTCTGACCGGGCCCGGTACATAGGTCAAAACAAAATCATCGAGGGGCCCAGATATCAGCTTCTAATCCAAGAAGGAACAGATAAACTTCGACTCATATGTTTGTTCTACTACTCATTGAATTACACACAAGAGCGCGATTTATAACATCGAGTTACCAATGCATTTTTCGTACAATCAATGCATAACCAACTTGTAAGTAACAAATCATATCTCTAGGTTTGAAGACTTATATGATATTACCGTCTCACGATCACTCGAGATAGAATTCCATGAAGTGATTCCAGTGAGCGTGGGTTGAGTCCAATGCTCAGAACTTATGAGCACTCATGATTGTTGTAGCCTTGTCCAAGACCTCTACAACCAAACATGACAGTCTTGATTCATATCTACTTCCGACATATGACCGACTGTGGAGGTTTGAATAATATGTTATACCAAACAAAATTATTCTGGAAGTCAAAACATGCAAAAGAAATATAGTAAACGATCGACAAGAGATAGCAACACTTTACTCATAAATAAAACACTTTTATTCATCATCAAATGTCAATTACACTTTACAAATTTCGAGGTTATCTAACTACTAAATCTAATATCATCCTTCAGCCCTATGCTCCGAGCATGCTGGAGATGCTTAACCCGAGTCAGTCCCTTCGTGAGGGGATCTGCCGGATTCTCATCTGATGATACCCTCTTTGCCACGAGGAGTCCCTTCGATCGATGTCTGATGAAATGGTATTTTCTGTCGATGTGTCTGGATCTCCCGTGATCCCTTGGTTCCTTGGCTAAGGCAACAGCACTTTCACTATCACAGAAAATTTCCATTGGCTCTTTAATAGCTGGTACAACTCCAAGGTCTCCAATGAAGTTCCTCAGCCATAACGCCTCCTTTGCCGCCTCGCTAGCTGCAATATACTCTGATTCACAAGTAGAATCTGCCACTGTCTCTTGCTTGGAACTCTTCCAAGAAATTGCTCCTCCATTTAGGGTAAAGACCCAGCCCGACTGAGAGCGGAAGTTATCCCTATCAGTCTGGAAGCTAGCATCACTATACCCTACAACTCTCAAGTCATCACTCCCACCGAGGGTAAGGACCCAGTCCTTAGTCCTTCGTAGGTACTTGAGAATATTCTTTACCGCAGTCCAGTGTGCCTTGCCAGGGTTCCCCTGAAACCTGCTAACCATGCTCAGGGCAAAAGCTACATCAGGTCGAGTACACGTCATAGCATACATGATCGATCCTACAGCCGAAGCATAAGGTACTCGACTCATTTGTGCTATCTCAGCCTCAGTGCTAGGGCTTTGTGTCTTACTCAGTTTGGCGTTACTCTGGATGGGCAACTCTCCTTTCTTGGAGTCTTGCATGCTGAATCTCTTCAGCACCTTATCCAAGTAGGTACTTTGACTAAGTCCAATTAGTCTTTTACTCCGATCTCTCAAGATCCTTATCCCTAAAATATAGGCAGCTTCACCAAGGTCCTTCATAGCGAAACACTTTCCAAGCCAGGACTTTACTTCCTGCAGGGTTGGAATGTCGTTTCCTATGAGTAGTATGTCATCCACATACAATACCAAAAAGCTAACTATACTCCCACTAGCCTTGACATACACACAAGATTCATCTTCACTCCTAGAAAAGCCAAATTCCTTGACCTTTTCATCAAAGCAAAGATTCCATCTGCGAGGTGCTTGCTTTAATCCATAAATGGATTTCTCAAGCTTACACACTCTATTAGGGTACTCGTTGCTGACAAAACCCTCTGGCTGACTCATGTAAACATCTTCAGCCAACTTTCCATTAAGGAAAGCGGTTTTGACATCCATTTGCCAAATTTCATAGTCATGAAATGCGGCTATGGCTAACAGAACCCGAATAGACTTAATCTTGGCTACCGGAGAAAAGGTCTCATCATAATCCACTCCAGGAATTTGAGAGAAGCCCTTTGCAACCAGTCTAGCCTTATAAGTGTGTACTTTACCATCCATGTCGGTCTTCTTCTTGAAGACCCATTTGCACCCTACAGTCTTTCGACCTGGTACATTCTCAACCAAGTTCCAAACTTGATTGTCATACATGGATTGTATCTCGCTATCCATAGCCTCTTTCCATTTAGCAGACTCGGGGCCTGCCATGGCTTCCTCGTAGCTGTTAGGGTCATCTTGACTTACTAGTGTCCATCACTAATAAGTGTCTCACCTTCTGCAGTAATATGGAATCCATAGTAATGCTCAGGTGCACTCCTAACTCTCGTGGAACGCCTCAGAGGTACAGATTCGTCAATTGGCTCAACAGGAGTTTCCTCCTCAAGTTGAGGGCTAGAGTTTGAAGTTCCTTCACCACTTGACTCTTGAATTTCTT